AATATATGTTTTGCAGGTGGCACCCCAGGTTGTTATGCCGTTTATTATAGGGATTTCAACTAAGGCATGGTACTACAGTATTTGCAGATAACTTTCTGTAAGAATGTTTGCTAGCATATAGACAACATTTCTGATTTTTTTGATAACATTTGTAATGTGGTTATCCCACCTTAAATGTGAGTCTATAAATATTCCAAGATATTTTAAAGTGTTAACTCCATCGATTTCTGTTTTTTGGCCGTGATCATTAACGGAAATTTGTTCCATGCTTGGCAAACATTTTGAATAAGAGTAAATCTTATAAATTTTGTTTTATGAAGTTAACTATCAAAATGTTACTATCAAATCAGTCTATGGTCCTCATAAGATCATTTTCATCGATTTGCTTCAGTGTACTCCAGTCATCAGCTTCCCAAAAACATGTTGTTAAATACAGTCGTCGTCGATCTATCTGACGATTTCCATTCGCGTCACTATTGATATCAGTAGCCACTGCGTAGATTTTGAAGCTCACTATAACTGGCTCTTACGTGCTGAATTCGCGTACCCAGCAATACCTTCCGAGCTTCAGATTCCTTTAGGGTGGAGTCAGAACCTGTTTTGTTCTATACAAGGATGGGATGCAATAGAAAATACCTACTTTAAAGGGCAAAAACTTAAAAAAACACATTTCGCATCAAGCATCTATTTAGTAATTGGTAGTCATAATTGATAAGAGGGTCTCAGATCAAAAATAGCCGTCTTCATTGACATTTGACAGTTTTCCTGTCACTACCAAGTGACAAGGAAATAAGGCATCCTCACAGTGCGTAGGCCTCAAGCAATGTTCATGCATTCAGTCCTTAGTTAAAGTACTTCTTATGCTGTTGTTAAAAAGTATTTTTTAAATAGCGAAACGTTATTGAAAACACAAGCCATGACACACCATCGTTTGCTTCGATTTAGTCGCTTTTATGAGCAACAAATAAAAATTCAGTATGTAAATGTCTTATTGATTTGCATTTCATTGATCGTGCTCGTACGCAACAATATGGGTGTTGGGCTATAAAGCCGAACGATGCGCAGCTTTTTACACACTAGATGGACTCTATACGAGGACGTCCCTACTGCATTCTGAATATTCAGTGGTAACAAAAACGACAAAACTAAATTAACAGATTGAGTCTCTTTGCTATTTGCTCGCTTAATAGTTTGTCATATTTCACAGAACCGTATCAAACGAGCAGTTAAATATTCGTGATAGATCCGAATGACCCCAAAATCAACTAAAAACAAGAAAAAATGCGAATTAACAGTTGCAATGGGAGTGTCTAATGCCAAAATTGGAAAAAAGGAAAGTCTGTTTGGTTGAGGAGAAGGAAACAATTCAGGTCAGGTTTTTTTAATTCTGATGTAGCTTCGTAGCCAGAAACTCAAATACCGGGGCTCCGCAACAGCTATAAGGAGCTCAAAGACACCTCGTCCGATTTTTGACCATCCTTAAGTTTGCAGAACTGAGAAAAACGTCCCACAATCTCGTCTCGCTAGGAACAAGAGACGGTCGTAATAGCCAGTTCTGGATGTATAAAGATCTAAAAAGTTAGGAAGAGAGGCAGAAGCCTAGCGGGTCCATTTATATACCGGTAGAAGAGAGTGAGATTGCCGACCGCCCGTCGGTGCGAAGGGATCCCGAGACTGCCCGTTATATAAGAGTCATCGATCACCATCGAGTGTAGACAATATAGTCGGGGCGGCAACACCCCAACCGTGTGAGCAGTACTCGAAGCTAGGTCTTATTTGGGCCTTGTAGAGGGTGAGGAGGCTCTATCGGGAAAAAGTACTCCTTAGCCCTCAACAAATAGAATAACTTTTTGCCAGCACCTGTTGCAATTGACAAGTTGTGTTCGTCTTCCATGATCTAGAGTTCTAGACTCTGCCCAGACCAAACAAATGCCACAACTGGGCTACCCATCGGAACTGGAGGAACACTAGGACGCTTCTTTGACAACTTCCAGATCTCTCATCAAAGAGAACGTCGCTACTAGTCTTCCGATCACTGGGAAACACCCGCGTTGGCATTGCGGGATGAAGAGGAGAACCCGCCAGTTACGACAGATATCATGTAGAGACACAGGTAATCGAAGGATTTCATGGTGTCACGAGCATCGACATGAAGCTCTATTCTACAGTTGTCTAACGTGAACTAGGAAGTCCCCTGTTGATCGCTAGCAGGCCGGCCTGAGGAAGACCTTATTCGCGCTTACAATATTTTAAATCATTGATTAATTACAAAACCGACGAAAGAGATAATCGTGATAAAATAATGCAATCTTTGATAGTGGCGACGAGGTCCGGGGTGAGCTCACCAAACTCCGCGCATGCCGGATGCGTCGCACTTACTTCAACGGCTAGTTCAGTTTTTTTCAGAAATTTAGAGTTGAAAATTTTGTGGCGTCCACATTGGTAGCAAAAGAACTTAGTAAAACTCTGGGTGTGGAGCCAAAGTTCTAAGAAGTCAGACATATAAAGAAAAGAAGAATGTTTGGGTTCGAGGGAGAAAACTCCATTTTCTCACATCAGTACACATAATCGTTACTAGTAGAACACCTACTTATTTATACAATAAACTTACCAGACTGCCTGATAGTGAAGTAATCTTTTGGTTATTTCTAAACATTCAACGGCTCTGCTTAAGCGCAGTTATTCATACAATGCTTCAAAACTGTATAACAGCATGGCAGTAGATCTCAAAAATCTGAGCCTCCGTAATTTTAAAAAAAATATTAAAAGCTCATCTCCTGCACGAACAAGGGCCTAAAATATAACTAAACCTCGCTACATTCCAAAGGATAATGTCCCAGTATGTTTCTTTTTAAGTCGTCTTGTTCTTTTTTGAATGAATTGTGCTCTCATAAAAGCAGCATTGACCGTGTTATCGTATGTCCTATTTTATATTGTATATTATGTTTATATATATATATATATCGAAATATCCCTATATTATCATATTTCAGATATTCATATTTTATGTACTCTATGTTAATACTTCTGAGTGTTTTTAGTATGCGTCTGTACTATTGTTATGCATTTTAGATTTGTTTATTCAGGCACGTAATTTAGGATTTGTGACGATAAGGTTCAGACATTTACCCTTTACGAAAATATCCAGAATTTTCACAATTCATATATCGTTACTTGTTGGTTCTAGATCTGATGCTAGTATCTTTGCTTAGATTTCTGTTGCAATCTTGGTTATTCAGGGTAGCAAGAGCATACAAGCTCATGTATTTTTTAAACTGTTTTTTATTTAAATTGTACTGAAGGTTGTTTTTAATTTGTAAGTTATATTGGTTTTTGAATTTGAATTTGAATAAACTATCCAATATAGGGTGACTTTGAAATTGAGTCATTAATTTTCAGATAATGATTGTAGAAGGAAGATAAACCAAAATATGTGTGTGAAAATAAAAAAAAATTAAAAAAAATTGTTACCTTGTTTTATAAATCCGACAAGTATTTCAGTGCGGACCTGTATTTGATCGTGCGGTCTTGGAGCACCGGCATGCCCTCCCCTGTGAGGTCTTAAGTCACCTGATTCACGAGCCATTTGTACTACATTAACAAAGGCACGAGGGGTTGGTTGCACTCGATTAAGAATAAGAATCATGTCCACAAGTTCAGCATTTTCGTAAACATGTGCCATTTTCTATTTCGTTTGAGCCACGCAACAAACACCACTATTGACTCACGCGTTACCGACTGACACATTGACTGAATACAACTGAATAATAATTGTAGTAAAAACATCGTTTCAAATTCTTTCGCTTTTTTGTTTCCGATGCGATGAACCGATAAGGCGGATTATATCCGTTGTTGCCAAACACGAGCACATAATTTTATTATTGAGACAGGGCGGTACTCAAACTTCTAAAGGGCTATAACTTTGTTACTTTAATTTTACCAGAAAAATGTTAAAGGAAAAAACATTTCTTTTGATCAGATCTACTCACTGTTAAAATAAATGACTCAACTTCGAAGTATATATTGTATGAGCGTTATTTTTTTGTGGGCTTAGTTGAAAAGCAGCTTAGGCTGAACTACGCCTTTCATCATTTTATTATTGAATTATTTTCCCTCAAGTTACTTATAATGATGAATAAAGACCATTTATTATTATTATTATTATTATTAATCTGCCGATCAAAGTTTTAAACAATATTTAAGATTTTCACTTAAGAATACCAAACAAATAATAAGTATGTGCAAATAATATGAATATTTTGTAATAATATGTGCTTATTTATGATAAATTATTCACTACAAAAAAAAAGATTTCTTATAAGAATTTATTTGTTTCCTGGCAGACCTAAACTTTATTATAATTTTCCTGATGATTCATTGCTTAAAAAATTAAAGTGGAAGAGTTTGGACCATAGTCAGAAATCATATTTCTTTCTAATCTCAATTCTTTACACAGAGTGAAACACTGTATACTTACATCAAACATAAAAATAGACTCAACCCTGGCAAATGAAAAAAATTACGTAAATAATTTACTATAAAAAATTTACTATAATGAAGCTAAGTATAATAAATGCGAATGTTTCCATAAAAATGATAGATGTAGTGACGGCAATGAATTGTAGCTTTATTTTCAACAATAACAGTTTCAGTATTACTGGTATCTACAGGCCTAATCTCACGAATGTACAGGATTTTGTAAACAATTTGGATTCATATTTGGGAAGTACTGCAAACTGTGACATTTCGTTGTTGGTGGGTGATTTAAATATAGACTTATTAAGAGAACATTAATACAGCAATTTAAGATACGTGAATATGTTACAACAGAACGGGTACATATCTCAGATTAATACAGCTTACTAGGGTAGATTCTAACTCATCTACGATTATCGACCACATATTTTTGAAGACAAACAGATTTAAGGTCTCTGAAACAGCAATTGAGTGTAAACCAATACTTTTGGAAATTTGTATGACCGATCATTATCCTGTTTTGTTCAATGTTGGGTATTTGAAAGAAAGTAATTGTATTGAGAAAAGGTTGACAGATTATTTACAAGTGGTGACTTGGGACAGTGTTTTTTCAGAGAGTGATGTCCAAAAAGCAACTGATAACTTCTATAATGAATTATATAAAGGCATAGATCATTCAACGTATTATTTAAAAATAAATAGTAAGACTAGAAAACACAAGCCGTGGACGACTGACGTATTCTTACTTCGTTCAAGAAGATTGATGAGTTGAAACAGAGTTTGACGAAAGATAATGATAATTTGACATTGAGACAGTCCTATATCTCCTACAGAAACAGAATTAACTAATCTTATTAAGATCTCTAAAAATCAATATTATACACAAAAACTGATTTTAGCTGGTAATAACTATAGGTAACTAATGCTATCAAAATTAAAAAAATGACGAAAAATCAATTAATCACAATATGGGTTTTTAATAAATATTTTGTTGATATAGGTAAGCAAATAACAAGTCAGATTGATCAAAACTCAATTCTTGATACATCAGATCTTCATGTCATCAACATTGCTCACTCTATGTTTCTAACTCCAGTGGATAACATAGAGTTACAGCAAATAGTTTGTAATCTGAAAAATAATAGCGCACCCGGAAAAGATGGCTTACACACTAACACTATCAAGATGATCATGAAGTATATCAGTCACCCTATAACTCACATTATCAACCTTTGCTTCAAATCCTCTGTAATTCCTCGCCAATTTAAAGAAAGCATAGTGACACCAATATTTAAATCTGGAAGTAAAGACAATATGTTCAATTATAGACCTATTTCAGTTATCAATGTATTTGGGAAGATTTTTGAGAAGTGTTTGAATAACAGACTTTGTTCTTTTCTTGAGAAATATGACATAACATGGAACTGTCAATTTGGGTTCCGCAAAAATTGCAATACAGAGCAATCTCTACAAGAACTTACAGGACAAGTGCTTGAAAATTTTCAAGATGAAAATAAGACTATTGCAGTTTTCCTAGATCTTCAAGAGGCTTTCGATTCAGTATCTCATACAATTTTATTGAAGAAACTAGAAAGTGTTGGAGTACGTAGTGGAGTTCTGAACTTATTTAAGAACTATTTAGCTGATCGACTACAACAAGTTAAGGTAGGGTCAGATTTAAGCAGCAGTCAAAAGATCAAAATAGGTGTGCCTCAGGGGACGGTTTTGGGACTAACACTGCTCCTCATATACATAAATGAACTACTTCGATGCAATTTCAACTGTAAAATGATATCATATGCAGACGATACTGTTTTAGTTTGCACTGGTCATTCATGGGACGACGCAATACGGAATGCCGAGTTGTCATTAAATGAAGTCAAATGCTGGTTGGATAACAATTTACTTAAACTTAATGTCTCTAAAACTAAGTATGTAACGTTTTCTCCAACCAAAGCAGGCATGCCATTACACCACCGAACCTTAATTATAAATGATAGTGCTGACACTGTCGAAAGAGTTGAAGTTATTAGATACTTAGGAATCACTGTTGACAGTAATTTAAAATGGCAGAGCCATGCCGAGCTTTTGGCATCGAAATTAAGGAGAATTATTCATAAGTTTTTCATTCTTAGGAATATTTTAAGCAGAAAGAGTCTTCTCTCAATATATAACTCGTTTGTGGGGTCTCTACTAACTTACGGGATAAGTATATGGGGAGCCGCATACACTAGTACTTTAAAAATACTAAAAACCACGCAAAATTATACTGTCAGGACTATTTTTCGTATCCCATGTAGGTCAAGTTGCAGATTTGTTTACATTGAAAATGATCTTTTGAATGTTAGAGGCTTATATATTTTTGCTGCTCTGAAATTTGTTCACTCCAGAAACAATGTTCCAACCAGCCACGCTTATGAAACAATAACTAAAATAAATACAAGTTACACTTATACCAGAGTGAATAAATCTGTTTGCCAAAAATGCATAAAGTTTGATGGTATTAGGTTGTATAATAAATTACCCCTAGAATATAAAATCCTCTTGGAGACAAACTTGTTCTGCAGTTCTTGAATCGAAAATTACCGCGTTGTATCAGGGATAGTCGAATAGTAAATGTTAAATGGTGCACAAAGTTTTGATGGTTAGAAACATAATGTCACAGATAATCCTCCTCATGAGTAATATCTACGAACAGTACCACGACCATGCACGAGTTGCTGCAATTCGGGCTCTAGCTGGGATGTAGATATGACGTGACCCTGGATAAAATACTTAAATATTCTGCTCAAGGTGGGCACTAAAGACATTGTGATCATTCTGAGTTTTAAGGGAGAATCTACCTGGACATATGTGTTTTAAATATGTCTTAATAGGTGCTCAAAATTACCGTGGCTAGAAGCGTATAAATATACCAGCGTCAAAAAACTGAGGGACGTGCAGGGATTTATGAAACATCAAAAGACAATGTTTGAGCAATGTTTATTTTCTTCGCTTTTTGTCCATAGGTTCGCCACCACTGGATCGATTTTCGAGAGCTACAAAACTTTTTTGTCCCTGACATCGTCTTAATATTGCGTTAAAATTTCATTGAAATTCGAGCGAGATACTCACAGTTCTAGACGAGCCAACGATTAGCGGACATTCCGCAGGAAAATAGGTTACATGATTTTTCGTGATGTACCTACGTTCAACATATCTCATCTTCCGATGCCTTTAACGATTACAATAGGTCTACGACAATTGGCGTGATAGGTAACATATCAAATAGTATGTAAACTTCTTTTTCATATGAATTCGAAATGCGAGATCCATCAAGTATGATCCTCATTCTGCTGTCAGCTTTGCATATACTGAACTGGTACTGGTAGTTCCACACGCCGTGCCGGCCGTACCGTGCGTTCGACAATGCACCACTGGCTGCAATTCGGTCCCTGGCTGGGATGTATGGCGTGACCTTGGACACAACACATCTCTCATAAAATGCGCTAGACGGCCGGCGGCGGTCTTGGTTGCGGGTACGACGCGACGGATGGCGGTACGGCGGCACTGCCTGCACCGCCGCGGCAAGATCAGCAGGCAGCACCTCATATGCAGACACACTGAACCCGTTTAAGATGCGATGGTGGTTGTTATAGAGATGGGTTAATTTTTTTGCCTACATTTTACTAGTCGTACTCACTGCCCGAGGTTGAGTAGGGTAGGTACATAAAGTATAGGACACTGGGGAACTCCAGATTATATTGCTTTGAACTTTGTTAACCTTTTGCTTTGTATCTACATACGAGTACAGACTGAATTAATCTCAATAATCTTTTTATCCACTTTTGAAATTGAGATTGTTTTCCGCAATACTCTAAGAAAAAGTTTCATTCATCACTATATGCAATAAATGATGAAAAAACCCAGGTAAATGATGAATGCGTACATTCATACAGGGCACAAAATTACCACTGCTATCAAATCCTTTATCCATTTTTGAATATAGCTAACAAGTCTTGTTCACTACAAGTCTATAGATAGTCTGTTTCATAATTCGTCGGTTGTATTTATTTATCCCATTGTTTTGACAGCTTGAAAGTTCTAAGATAAAATGAAATTGATATGAGTGACAAACGAATGATTTGGCAACTTCCCTCTTCTAAGTTCGGTGACGCCGGCTTTATCGACAACGTTGCCGGATGTTAATGAAATTATCAGATATGCTATATTTCAAAGTGGTATAGGTCGAGTCGTATACTAAAATCATTATTCTAGCTATGAACATTATTGTGACTCTCACTGTGAGTGGTAGATGGGTAAAATTTAGTACCCTTTAGCATAGTTTTGCATGAAGATAACCATTTTTGACAAGTCTTATATCATTTAAGTGATCCTCAAAACTATAAAATATACCATACCATACCATATTAGATTTATTCCTAACGGAAACAGCTAAAAAACTAGAGCCACATTCACTTGATTTGGGTACAAACTACGAAAACCGATAGCAGACTCAGTTTTTTATTATTTAGACTACGTCCAATTCCGGGTGATTGTTGAAAAATCAGAAAAATTGAAAAATCTCGAAAACCATTGGTTTTCGCCTATACATACGTAATGTGTAGTATTTGGGACTTCTATCAAGTCTTGAAAGGAATACGGCAAATTACAAGTAAGTCTGTAAACAGGAGTTGATTCACGAAGGGGCAATTTTTTTTTCACCAGAAAATAGTATTAATTCTATTGCGAATGAGACTATATAAATCTAGTTTTAATAATTTTAAAATGATGTAGACCTCCTGATAGATTGAGTTCTTTGTTCCATTCCCTTTACCATCGAGGGAACCTCATGTTCTGATTGCGGTTTTGGGTGTTTGTATAAACAAATCCAAGTAGTTCCTATACGGAGTGCTGCATGTAACTGTATGCCGGGTGATTCAGAAAAACGTGGCAATATGTTTAGGGCATAATGTAGATCAAAAACTAACATGAAAAGGTTATGGAGACGAAAAGGCATTTTACCCCTCTTACTGAGATAGGAGTTTGGAAATATAATTCTGAAATCATGAAAAAATTCATATGCCTCCGTCGTTTAAGATATTGGCTTAAATTTTTGTACTGACGTCATAGCCAATACATGTAAAAAATTCGTACGTGTAACTATACCAGCGGCTTAAGAATTGGGAAATTTTTGCTTCTCCAGGAGAAAAAACAAAATTGTTTTCTCACTTTTTTGAAACACCTATAGAAATTTTGAATAAGGAATTTAAATTTACATGAATCGCTTATATCGAGAAAAAATTTTCAGGCTACTTTCATTCAAGAAAGATCAGTTTGAATGTTTGAGGTGAAATTGTAATCAAAAACTTCAACCCGTTCACCTTGAAATGCGCTAAATTTTAGTAGAGTTTGACATTGCGAATTCGACATAGTGTATTTAGAGATTAATCCTAACTTGGTAGTGGGGGCATTTTAAAACCTTTCTTCTGTTATTTTCGGATGTCGTACCATAGAAACTTTTTTCTGGATTACCCTGTATATAATGACAGTACGAATATTTTGTCATAATGTCCACATAGTGCCCATCCCGAGATAGTGGACCAGCAGGGATCAGAGGACGACAGGCATGTAGGACCAGCTCTCCAGACCAGGCCACCGCTGCTTAGTGTCTGCCGCCAATGCGCTGCAGCGGGGTTTAAGGTCATTGTGATTCGCGAGGAAACACACTCAGGGGCGTGCCGCCTGGACAGAAAATGCCAAACAATCAGATACTGTAGCCTTGTAAATATTCAGTTTGGTATTTTTGCCTAATATTTTTATACCAGATCAACTGTGACGGCAGAGCTTAATTACCAAGGTATCGCGACTGCTGTAAACCCATTCTTGGCAGACTGGTACACAAACCCCGGTGCCCTATCAACAGTCAAACTTAGTCCAGGAAGCTTCTATTTAAACCGTGGAACTCGGTTCCACTGAATGGAAGAGATTTTTAGTGGAAGGCATTCAAAATAATGTATACTGAAAAGTTCAGCCATTAATTTTTAAATTTACTGCTTCGATATACAGCGTATTCAAGTTAATTTCTTCCAGTACTGATGTCTTAACTTTCTCTAAAATTATTTTGTATTGTAAGTCATATTTATCAAAATATTTATAAGATCAAACAATAAGTGTTCATTTCTTCTAAGAATCTCCTGTTTTTTTTTGCAGAATATTTTTTCTAACCTTTCTAGTGTGTAAAGTTAGTAGTGGATCAACGGTAGTCAGGTGATAGAGGGCCTCAGAACATATCGAATGAACCCCTATATGTGTGGTCCGAAATTTTATAGTTCAGGAGACATTTGCAATTTTGTGAAATTTTAGCAATGGTTATGTCACTTTTTAACAGAGCCAATTAAAAAGCAGCGCAAA